GATATACTCCTACGTGTTGCATCTTAGGGAGTCACCAACAAATTCAGGATAAGAAAGATCAGAGTGAGATTCCATACCACCGTAATCACCATAAATCTCATGAAACTATTTCCAAATTCTCTACACTGTCCTCAGCTTGACACCCCAAAACTCTGAAATGTTCGTATTGAAACTTCTGGTGCGAATGCCAAGGAGTGCAGCATGTTAGACATTTCCATGACGGTCGTCCTTGAGTAGACGAAACAAGATGGCCGCCTTTATACATGATGAATACAGTGTAGTGCGGCTTCGGATTGGTCAACCTTCCATTGGTCGACTATAAAGGGAAATAAGTCATTCTGACTCGCTCACTAGTCATATACGGTATATACCCAAAAAACCGTAACACAGCATGCCGTTTCCATATGTTTGGCGGAGTGAATTGTGTCATGGTGGTCTTTTTTCTTATAGAAGGTGCCCAACTGATCATACTATACTCTGCAGTCGACAAAATAAAAAACAAAACAAAACAGACAAAGCGTATGTAAAATATAAAATGGAAGTTGCACTATATATATATATATATATATATATATATATATATATATATATATATTATAAAAATGTTAAGGTATGGGTTAAAGTGCTAAATATCAATGATAGAGCGTATGTAATTATAAAAGTGGACATTAGAGTCAACACCCAGCGGTAACTGTCCGTTTCATGTCTATACGCAATCGTCAGGCCATGTGTGCTGTTTTTTTTGTTTTTTTTTGTCCGACTATTTATATATACAGGCCAATGATGCAGTGTGTGTAGTCTATTGTCTTGTTCCGGGCACCTTGGGGGTGGTGTAATGGTTAACAAGCTTGTCTTGCTAGCACAATTATCACTGAGTAGTGAGTTCGATCCTCACTGGGTGCCCCATAATTTCGTCCTCGTGCCACATCTGAGCTACGCTTGGTAAATCACTATTGTCTTGTTCCAACGGTTTTGGTAGGAAATAACGGTCTATAAGTTGGAATTTTATATGGTTAGTATTGATATGTTTCGAATTATTCTAGGGGATATTGGGGGAAAATAATTATGGACCCAGGGGAAGTTGTTTTTTTTGGGTTTTTTTAACTATTTATTATGTTGTTTGTTGTTTTTTATTATTATTTTATGTTAGTTGTTATTATTTTGTTTATTTGTGTTTATGCGTGCGGTCGTAGTTTGACTACGAAGTGAGTTTATTTACTTATTGCTTTGCTTTAATCTGTTCTTCTTATTTTTGTTTATTTATATTTATTATTGTTCGTTTTTTCGTTTTCAATTTTTAAATAAGGAAAATCAGGAGAATTGGGAGGGTGATCAACCAGTTCCAAGCCAAAGGCACACCTAGCAGCTATTAAACCAATGACTGGAGTATTGTCCTCTTGAAACAAGAACACCTTTCGCCAGTTTTCGTAACTGCCTCAGCAACTTGGCACAGTTCTTTCCATTGATGGCGGGGCCCTTTTAAAGATACTCAATAAACACAATACCTTTTGCATCTTAAAAAAAAAAACCCAAAAAAAACATCGCCTTCCTTGCAGATTAAACGGAACTCGAGCTTCTTTGGGGAACTGTGTCTCCACTGCATAGATTGTCACTGGCCCAAAACTTATTCTCGGTCAGAAAACTTTCTAGAAAACCAGCTGGATTTACATCAATGTCAGATTTTCCGAGGAAGTGATCAGTCTGAACACTTTTGATCAGGTGTCAGAAGACTTGCCTCCCACCGAGTAGAAACAATCGACATGCCACGTTTATATTAAATTTACTATACTTACCGTTCTTATTTTCTGATAATGTTGTGTATGGAAATCTATATATAAAAAATCGGCACGTTTATAGAAAAAAAAACACATAAAATTCTTTTTAAAATACTGAATTGTATTAAACTTTTCCATCTATGAACAATATATTTTTTACTTAAAAAATTAATGTGTCTATTTACAAAATGAAATATAAGCGCAGTACTAGACTAGCGACAAGGTCTCACCAATTTAAAATTGAGTTGGCTAGATGTAACCGTAAATTCTATGAGAACATTTTCTTTTCTCGCACTTCTCGTTTGTAGAATTCTCTTCCGTCTCCATACTTTTATTCAACTTTAATCTTTAACAATTTAAGTGCAATGTCAATTGCTATCTACTGTCCTCCTGATTACTTTTCTTTTGCTCGTCGCTCTTTAGAAATGTTTCTGTTTTCTAATTCTTCTACACCCAGAAACCCCTTGTGTCTTAGTGGCTTTACTGCCTTGCTTGGGGTGAGATCGATTAAAAAAGAAAAGAAAAATATGGAAAATGTAAAGTAGGTAAACTGGCATACAGAAATTGTTTGAAATGCTAAACTTAACAGACTAAACTGTTATATGCGGATCAGTGGTAGTTTTGGGTTGATGTTCCTGACGTGGCATCTTGGTTTTAGTTACTTTCCCATCACTGTAAAATACCTTTTCTGTGCCTTTTCTATAAATACTTTCATGTTAATTGTTCGGATGAACTCTCTTCTGTGGTACCTAAACTTTATGGATTTAAGTGCGTTACTAGATTAGCAACAAGGTTTCATCAATTTACAGTTGAATTGGTGAGGTGTAACCGTAAGTTCTATGCTAACAGTTTCTTTTCTCTTACTTCTCGATTATAGAACACTCTTCCGACTCTATGCTTTCCAGCAAACATTGATATTCGAAAATGTAAATATCAATCGCTTTATACACTCTGCCTGATTGCTCTTCTGTTGTCTCGCTCTTCAATGATGCTACTGTTTTGTAATTCTTCCCCTTGTGTCTTAGTGGCTTTACTGCCTTGCTCGGAGTGAACTCGATTTTAAAAAAAAGGAACCATTTGGCATTCATAAAGGAGCAACCAGTGTAAACTGTCCGAATGGCGACTTGTGTTATTACTGTGACTGAGAATGGTTAGTAAGAATGTGTTGATTTGGTGTACAGAAAAATTATAGTATATTTAGGTCACTGATTGCCTCAAGACGTAGGCGATCCTGGCTCTCCCCAACTTCCTGTCCCTTTTATCTCTTAATAAATTTTGTATTTCTGTTAGTTCTCGTAAACTCTGTTCCGCCATTCATTTACCAAAACCCACTATGTTATGCATTGTTTTCCTCTGTCCCTCTTGTCCTCTCTCTGTCATGTGAGTATCAGATTTTCCAAGCCGTCCTACCTCATTATGTACCCCAGAAACCTCAAGTGTATCTTCCCGATGTTAATTATAAATTTCCTTTTTGTTTCCTTTTCTCTAAAACTTCGTCTTTAATCACATGTACGGTCCATGGTATTCTCAGCATCCTTCTGTAGAATCACATTTCTTTTGCTTTAAGTCTCTTCTTCATCTCCAGCATTCACTGCCAGACTGAAAGACAGATGTCAAATAGGAGTTTAGTATTCTTTTTCTTGTTTCTAGCGCAGATTTTCTATTTCTTATTTCTCTGCTTAGCTTTTGGGATGCTTCTTTGGCTATCTCAATACGCCTTCGGATATCAGTGTTTCACTTTCCGTACTCTGTTAAAACACTTCCCTGATATTTCCGCCTCGTATGTTTGATGTTGGTATTCCCGATTTGCAATTCGCCTTTTGCTAACAACCAATTCTTGCTAAAAACACTTTGTACATACACGAGATTAGGCGTCAGTCTTATAGTACCAAGATGCCTATAGAAATTCTTTTTTTTTAAGGTACTCTAACTCCCAGCATTGATTTGATACATAAAAGTCTTTTCAAGATAATAAAGAAGTTTTTTTTATATTTAAGGAGAATTGTTTCTGTAGTTATTTCCAGCCCAAATTGATTTTAGTCTCGAAGAATTGTTTTTTTGGGCGGCATACATATATTGAGATTTCTCGAGGGTCCTCATCATCATCATCAGCAGCAGCAACAGCAGCATAAACGTTCAAACGACCAAGAAAGATGGGAGGCGCTGCCATCGGAGAAGCTTACTCTTAACTAAGAATGGAGAACAAGTGACAAAAGGCCCTTTCTATTTCATCACTAACTCTCCTTTATATTTGTCTTCGGTGCTATCTCACTATAAAAAATAAAGTTGAACCAAGGAAAAGAGAATAAGTGACAACAAGTTACTCTAGCACCGTAAGCCATCATAAGAGTACATAATACAGAAAGGATAAATTAACCCATCCCTATGAAGTAGACTCTTTAGGTGACGTACAAATGTGTCATACACACTTAATATATGGTGCATATCTAAGCGTAGCTTAGATGTGGCACAAGGCCGAAGGGGCACTTCAACGTTCTGTAATGTTTACCAATCTTGTCTCGCCAGATCAATTAAGATTGAATAGTGAGTTCGATCCTCAGTGGGTGCCCCCATGCATCCGCCCTTGTGCCACATCTAAGCTATGCTTAGGAAATCTCCGTTACAGCATGTCGAAGTAAATCATTTTGGTTACTTCAACGTGGTGCAATAGATTGCAAGCTTGTCTCGTTAAATCAATTACGACTGAGTAGTAAGTTCGATCCTCACCGGGTGTTCCACACTTTCGGCCTAGTACCCTTTTCCTTATTTCTACGCTTAGAAAATCATCTTTGGGTACTTCGACGCAGTGTAATGGTTTACAATCTTGTCTCGCTAGATCAGTTACGACAGTATAGTGAGATCGATTCTCACTGGGTGTCCCATACATTCGGCCTTGAGCCACATCCAAGTTACGCTTAAGAAAGCCCTGTTACAACCACGTTGAAGTGCCCTCTGAAGCGAAATATTTTTGTTACGTTTAAGTAGAGAATCGGAAACGGTCAAGTAGGGAATTCTCGTTTAAATAAATATGAAATTTAAAAGCTTCTAAAATCACCAAAGTGATGCAAATTATCTTTAGTGCGTGATAAAAATATTTAAAAAAAATGATAAATTGCTCCGGCGCTGAACTATCCATCGTAAAAGATCTTGAACGTTTGGCGCTGTTCTGTCATCCATTTACAAATTTTCCTCTGCACTTCTTGTCTGAATATACTTTCATTATAAGGCCACATCACGTTGAAACATCAGTTCCCGTACGATCACTGAAGTTAAGCAACGTCAAACCTGATCAGTACTTAGATGGTTGATTGCTTCGGATTACCATGTACTGTAAGTTTGGATGTGCGTGTGGTGTAATGGAAAATGGCTCAGAATTAATAATTGGAGAGCCGAGTTTCAATTGGGTTCGTTATATTCATTTACGCGGATACACCATTGGGAAAGGTATGCATCCACCTCTTCTCCCCACCCCCAGCCATGTGTTAATTAGTAAGTCTTGTATCATTAAATGTTTATTATTTCAAAAAAGATAAATTCTTACAATGTAAACAAATTTCCTACATTTAAACAACTTGCAAAGATTTGATAAGCTATAGAAAAGAAATCAACCCAAAAAGATTTTGGGCGTAAAATTTTTTTCTTTCCTTGTGTGTTCCAGAAATTAAAACTGTCTTACTGGTTCTAAGTTGAAGCGAAATTTTGATTCTCTTTTACTCGGAAGTCTCTCGTTGTTTATACCCTTCTTATTCTCATCATCCTTTTGTAGAACCACAAAAAAACAATTGAACACTCTTTTCTTTGCTTCTAACGACATTTTCCAGTGTCTTAAGTTCAACAGGTTTTTATTCGAAAATTATTTATAACTAGTTTACACATCTTTTTTTTTTTCTTTTTAAATAATTTCACCCCAAAGCAAGGCGGTAATGTCACTAGTACTCAGGGTGTCACAAGGAGTGAAAAGGTGAGAAAAGACTGAAATGAAGGAGAATTGAGGAAAGGAAAAATGATGAACGAGGTTCAAGAAGACAGAATATGGTGATTGATGTAGCATTTAAATTTTTGAAGAATGTAATTAACAGGGAAGAAAGCAAATGGAAAGAAGTTCCACAGGCGGGAAATGCGAGAAAAGAAACTGTTGGAGTGGAAGTGGCTGTTGCACTTAGCTATTTCAACAGTAAACAGGTGGGACCTTGATGCCAATCTAGTATCACGCTTAACTTCATCTATCCGGGCACCAGGAAAAAAAAAAGCTCGACATAGCAGTTGATATGAAAATATTTGTAGAAAAGCCAGAGGGAAGCCACATTACGTTGTGAGAAAGTGACCGATGACAAGATGCCAATTCAGGATTGATTTCATAGCAGATCCTTCTTTGGATTTTTTATCTTATTATAATATAGGGTTGTGTAGCTTTTTATTTAATCATAATCTACCATTATGTAACTTCTTATCTAATCATAATCTAGGATTATGTAACTTCGAATTTTATCATAATCTAGGATTATGCAGCTTCTAATCTAATCCTAATGAATGAAATAGAGACTACACAGATGTAGTTCTACAGTAGGCTGATGAGAATATCACAGACGGAATAAGTAAGTCACTTGGATTTTGTCAAGGACCACGAGATGAATAGCGAGAGTACCAGACCAGATGTGGCGGCAGTATTCAATGCACGGGCGAATGGTAGTTATGTATATGTGCAAGGCACATACAGAAAAAAATATGATGATATTTCATATATTCCTTTTCCAGTTATTACTGTTGTTGTATTCGTTCGCGTAGTCAGTCTTCACCAGCACACCACTTGGCCTAACTCTTGAAACGGTACAATATTGATGTCTGTATTATCTCCCTTGCATTAACGAATCCCGCCTTACACTTGAAATGTGTTGAAGCGTCTTAAAATCGTCTTGCCCCTTTTATTTTATTCCTTTTATTTATCCGTGAATTGCAATGTGTTTTAAGATCAGGTAGTGGTGTAGTTTTCCTTTGCCTTCTCTAGTATTTTGAAATTCAGAGTTTTCTTTGTCTTGGACTGGCTGCCACCCAAGGCTAGAGAACCGAGTTTAGCCTGATATTTAGCCCATAGAGGAGAAGAGTTGAAGGGTATTTCTGCGTAATTTGGGCCGGAATTTGAACTCATCTCATCGATCCCAATTTCAGCCCCGATGACCGCTATGCTACACGCACATCAACACAAGGGTGTCATATCTACATCAAATGACTTTTTTGCGTTTGAGTGATATTTTCCCTTAGCTTAATATGTCGAAAATGTTACTTATTACTTTTTTCGTTTATATTTTTAGAAGTCATTTTCAAAATGGGCCGATTTTGATAACATTTTTAAATGAACACCTAATATGACAGCTGTCATAATACAGTAAAAACTAGTTTTGAATGTATTCTGAACGGACTCACCTCATGTCATTTAACGATAAAAATAACAACGCACAGCACAATGTCTTCCTAAGACCATAAAAATGTTTTCGTTAATATAATGGTAAATACTTTTAACTTGGGTAATCAATTCTTGTTAGAGAGGCATAATTACTTTTTATCCTTTATCTTCTATAATAAATATAAAATATAGATTAAAAGATATTAACAACTCTCGCTAAATGAATGACAAATGGAAAATATATCCTACGTTACGGGTTTCATTTTTCAAAAGGACTTCTTCAGAATGATTTCCACACTGAAACCTGACATTGATGATCACTTATGAATGTACACTGGCAACACTCATGAAGAGATAATCTACAAAATTTCGAATCTATCATTTGCTTTCTAAATAGCAAGGGATTAATAAGGTCTAATGCCCATTCTAGGTTTACGTAACTTCTAATCTAATCATGATCTAGGGCTTTGAAGATTATAATTAATCATAATCTAGGATTATGTAGCTTCTTATCTAATCATAATCTAGTGTTATGAAGATTCTAATCTAATCATAATCTATTTTAATGTAGCTTCTAATCTAATCATAATCTAGGGTTATGTAGCTTCTACTCTAATCATAATATATAATTACGTAGCTACTAATCCAGTCATAATCTAATTTAATGTAGATTATAATCTAAACATAATCTAGGATTATGTAGCTTCTAATCCAATTATAAAATGAGATTATGTAACATCTAATATTGTCATAATCTAGGCTAATGTAGCTTTTAGTCCAGTCATAATCTAGGATTATATACCTTCTAAAATAATCATAATTTAGCATTATTTAGCTTCTAATCTGACCATAATCTAAGAAGATGTAGCTACTAATCTAATCATAATCTAGGATTATTTAGAGCTAATCTAATCATAATCTAGGATTTCATAGCTTCTAATATAATCATAATTTGGGATTATGCAGTTTCTAATCTAATCATAATAGCTGAAGTGGAGACTTTAGGCAAGACAGATGTAGTTCTACAGAAAGATGATGAGAATACCACAGACGGAACAAATAAGCAACGATAAAGTTTTAAGGAAACGGCAAATAAAAAGTCACTTAAACTTCGAATCAGAGGGAGAGACATCAGGAATTTCTGGAATACGCAATCAGGAAAGAATGCTTTGAAAATTTAACATTCACTGGACATATTGAAAAAGGCAGATGGAAATAACGTGTCACGTGCTTAACGAGTTTGTGTAAATGGAAAACCAGAACAAAGAGCGAAAGGAAGTTGAAAAATAAACATTCCTAATAACTGCAAAGGATCGATATTTGTTTAGAGCTATTATTGTCCACGTGCTGAAGGGTCACGGCAAAGAGCGGAGTTAGTAAACTTAACCAAGTCTGACACAAGGTAAACGGAATGAGAATAAAAATCTCCATACTAGTAATGGTTCATTCTAGGAGAACTCCCTAAATATTACACTTCTGCACCGCCTCCAGATAGTTTACTTATATGTAGGTACCGCCAAAAATTTGATAAAAATGAAGAGACATTATGAAAAAATTCACAAAACATAATAAATGCAAACTTATCGTCAGGAAAATATTTTTTTAATGTAAAAATATTTATTTATCTTTGGAAAATTTGGTTAAAAATCTTGTTTTTCTTGTTTTTTTTATACAAGACCATAAATTTGCATGGTAAAGCTAAGCGTGTATTTTTTGATGAAAAACACCTTGATTTGTAAATTATTTCAAAAATCAGATAATTTTCGGATCTTAATGAAACTTTGACGACTTATTTATAAATGAATGAATTTATTTTTGAAACATTTCTTTATTTAGAAAATCATTGTAATTATTTGTCCACATGTTCCCACCAACGAAATTTTTTGGTAGCGATTAATGTTTATATTAGTTATAAGAATAAGTCTTTGGAGAAATCAAATCATCATTTTCCTTTCGTCAAACAGAAACCTCAGTTACAGAAAATCTGCTCTGAATCATAAAATAAAAAATGCTAAAAAAAACTAAGGCATTATTTAATTAGAAATTCTTTTAATTGCTTTTATGGATAGAATATATTAAGGACATGGGCACGTGGCCGAGTGGTTAGAACGTTCTCATTCTGACAATAAGACCTGGGTTCAAATCTCACCATAGACGATTTGTGAGGAAGGAGACTTCCTGATTTTATCGGACTGGAGATGTCGATCCCAGCGTGCGGCCCCTTTGGAAAGCCTTGTGAGTGAAATTGGGTAGACGGAACCCTTGGGTGCATTCGATAGCTGTGTTATCGTAGCCGAGGGCTTGAGCTTGCTGGCCTTGCTCAAATTGTTGATCACGCTAGATCACACGCTCTTTCCCGGAAACTGTAACTGCTCAGGATAGTTACAGTATAAACCACAGGATCTGTAGGTGTTGAATAAACACAAATGCGCCCGAGCAAGCGTCTTCAATAGGGATTAGCTAGCCGCCCTAGTAAATAGGTATCTTCGAAGGCCATATATATATATATATATATATATATATATATATATACATACATATTAGGGGCACTACTGTCTCAAGAAAAAAGATTCTATGAATACAAGAATTTTACAAGAATAATTAGAATAATTGATAAACTTTTAAAAGCCTGTAATAATTTGTCTCTGTCAAATGATATTTTTATTAAATTAAATCTGTATTTCGTAATCATACATGGAAAACCTTACTACAATTCACCAACCCCCAGTACTTTAAAATAATTTTGAATTTCTTTTATGTGTGTATAAATGTGTCGATTTTTGTAAATACAGACGTCCATACAGGGCATTATCAGAAAATGAGAGCGGTAAATATAGTAACATTAAAATTTATTGGTAATTTTAGAACATTTCCTCAACAAGCGTCATTATAAGTTAGACTATGAAGTCAAATTACCTAAAATTCAATGTAAT